TTTATGCAAACGACTCAAAAAAACACTGCCAATCATCATTTCGAAAACACAATCGGCCTTCATGGCTAGACGACTTATTACGGATAATATTCTGTTAGCACAAGAAAATTTTCATGCACTCCGAACCAACACAAATTATAGAAAAAAATTTATGGCTATTAAGACCGATATGAGCAAAACATATAAAAGTGTTGAATAGAGTTTCATTGAAGCTCTCATAATCAAATTAGGATATTCATCGAGATGGGTCAGTTTACTGATGTTTTGTATCTCATCAGTTACGTACCAGGTCCTTATTAATGGAAAACCTAAAGAGAACATCAAACCATCGAGGGACTTAAGACAAGAGGATTTTCTTTCCCTTTTCCTCTTTATGCTGTGTACAGAAGGCCTTATTTCGCTCCTCAAGGGAGCAGAGGAAGAGGAGCGCATCTCTGGGTTGAAAATAGCTCAATTAAGACCGATATGAGCAAAACATATGACAGTGTTGAATAGAGTTTCATTGAAGCTCTCATAATCAAATTAGGATATTCATCGAGATAGGTCAGTTTACTGATGTTTTGTATCTCATCAGTTACGTACCAGGTCCTTATTAATGGAAAATCTAAAGATAACATCAAACCATCGAGGGGCTTAAGACAAGGGGATTTTCTTTCCCTTTTCCTCTTTATGCTGTGTACAGAAGGCCTTATTTCGCTCCTCAAGGGAGCAGAGGAAGAGGAGCGCATCTCTGGGTTGAAAATAGCTCAAGCAAGTCCCCCAGTTTTCCACCTTCTCTTTGCGGATGATAGCTTGTTCTTCTGTAGAGCGGATATCCAACAAGGAGCTGAGATCCTCCAAATCATAAACACTTATGGAATGGCGTCGGGACAACAACTGAATCTGGGGAAATCATCCATCATGTTTGGAGATAAAGTGGACTCCGACCTCAAACAAAATATTAAAAATACCATATGTATTACTACAAAAGGCGGTATGGGTATGTACCTGGGCATACCAGAACAAATATGTGGATCAAAGAAGAAGGTCTTCTTTTTTTTTCATGATCGCCTTAGTAATCGTGTTAATCATTGGTCCGCAAAACTTCTTTCTAAGGGTGGATAAGAGATTCAGATTAAATCGGTAGCTCAAGCCATCTCCACTTATGTCATGTCTTGCTTTCTTCTTCCTAAAGGAGTTACAGACAAACTTCGAAGTGCCATTACCAATTTTTGGTGGAGCTCAAAACAGACCAACAGCGGTATCCACTGGATTGCTTGGGACAAGATTTGCACTCCACATGAAATGAAAGGCCTTGGATTCAGAGATCTAAATGATTTTAACCTTGCATTGCTAGCAAAGCAACTGTGGAGACTCATCCAATACCCTTCATCTCTTCTGGCTCGGGTGCTAAGAGGAAGATATTATCGACAATCGGACCGTTAGAGGACCGAAATGTCTACTCACCATCCTATGGATGGAGGAGTATGTTGGCCGCAAAACCGTATCTTAAAATGGGACTAAGGAAGACGATAGGGTCAAGACTAAATACAAGGGTGTGGAGTGAGCCTTGGATTCCCGACGACAATGCCCGTCCATCAAGAGCAACCCCTCAGATCGGACTTCAGGACTCAGGAGTGTTAGTTTATTCCTTTATTCGTCAAGACACGAAGCAATGGGATGAGCCTCTTTTAAGGGAATTTTTTCAACCTGAGGATGTCTCTCTTATCCTTGGGTTGAGACGTAGTAGGAACCGCACCCTTGACGGATTTGCGTGGAACCATACTAAATCAAGAATATACACGGTTAAATCTGGATATGACTTGATTAGAAAATCTAACCTTGAACAAAATTTGGATGTCATGAGAGAACCGAGTATCACAGCTCTTCAAAGCTTCGTTTGGAAAGTACGAACACCTGAAAAAATGAAACATTTTATGTGGCAAGCTTTATCAGGATGTATCGCTACTTGCCAAAATTTTACCTACAGGCATATGGGAACGGACAAGAGTTGCCCTCGCTATGGGAATCATGAAGAATCTATCAACCATCTTCTGTTTATGTCCCCCGACTTTACAAGTCTGGGCGTTATCGGACTTTCTGTCTCTTCCGAGTCTCTTCTCGAGTACTTCTATTTACCAAAATATGAGCTTTCTCTTTTGGAAAACAAAAGAGTTAGGCATGACAGATCCTCAAAAGGATATTTATCCTTGGATCTTGTGGTACATTTGGAAAGCGAAGAATGACAAGATCTTCAACGGGAAAGAAATTTCCCCGGTAGATACTTTGATCCACGCCAAGGTTGAAACAGAAAGTTGGAAGATTGCAAACCAACCGGAAGAAGTAGAGGACGAACCAGATGAGGCGCCGCTCACTACTTTGCTCTTGAGTCCTCTACCCGTTGTCCAGAGGTTACCGCTGTGTCAGGTCGATATGCTTCCTGGATAAGTAACGGCTTGGTAAGTAGGCTCGGGTGGAGTCTGAAGGATGAGAGAGGTGGTGAGATCTTTGGCCTACAGGGCTGCCGTAGAAACCTATCGGTCCTTCATGCAGAATTGGAGAGTCTGTTATGGGCTATGTCTTGTGTGATAGAGAGACAAATCTTATCCGTTCACTTTCAGACCAATTGTTCGGATTTGGTAATCATGTATGAATCTCCATCGGATTGGCCATCTTTCTCATCAGAGCTGGAAGCCCTTCGCATTTTTCGGAAAAGCTTTTTGGATTTCACTCTATCTCATATCCCCAGAAGCTTAAATGTCCGAGCAGATAGTCTTGCAAAAGGAGCTCGAGCAAAAAACAATATTTTTTCTCAAATGAGTCAGTTGAAGATGGTTTTCGGACCAATTCCTTAATGGGCTAAATGTAATATAATAGTTGGGTTATAGAAAAAAAAAACTTTTAATCGGTTATAAATATTATCATAAATTGTTTATAACGTGACTTTGTTTTTTCTCGATAAATATATAGTTTATTTTGCCACAATATTATCTCATATTAACTATTTGATTATTCATATAGAATAGAATTTGGTATAAGAACCTAAATTCCTAACACATATTGATGACATCCATATTATTGTACACTTTCATAAACCAATTATGTTATGAATAATATTGACATCTATATTTTGCTCTCTTAATTTTTTTTTGTTTAAATTTAATGGGTTTTACAGGTTTCACAGATTTTACAGATTTCACTTTATAAACGAATTTTGATGGTTTAATAGTTTGCACTGTACTCTATTATTTCAAAAAAATCTTCAATAATCAGTTTAGAACTTAAAAGACTATGAATAAAGTTTTAAATTTCCTAACTAACAAAAACAGAACTTCGAGATTTACGCGATCAATGCATATCAAACTGTTATATCTACATGCATCAACTTAGCTTGATGACAGTATTGTTGGGGATAAATGGTGTCATTAGTATGTTTCTAAACATTTCCGCTAACTGTTGTTAAAAATAATACTGGCTTATGAGTATTGTATTAATTTTATAAGATATTCAGTGATAGTTAGACTTTTCCAATTTTCACAATTATTAAGGAAGTAGACAAATAAATACTCAAGTCTTTGGTCATAGATTCTCAAAGAAAATAGTAATGTTATATTTTACAGGAACAAAGTCAATTGATATAAAATAGATACAAAACAAAAGTCAATGCAATGGATATTAAAACATTTCTCAAATTAAAATTCTTACTGAAGGTGATATTTGTTAAATAAACCTAGTAGGATGATTTGAAAAAATGAAAGTCAAAATTTATTTTTTATATGGTCTAATTAAGTTCTAAGCACATAGGTTGAATTTTTTTTTTTTAATGTCAACCACGTAGGTTTTGATTAATTTGTATAAGTATTATTAAAGCATTAATATATGGCTGTAATGCACAGTGGGAGAAAAATTAGTAGTATCTATGAATAATTAAGTAAATAACAAATTAACAAGTGGGCTTACCATTAGTGAGTGATATATATAATCATGAATAATTAATCCTGAAAATTTGTATAGTGTGTCATTTGTTTTCATGACCACGTGGTCTTTCCATTACGGTCTAATTATCAGATTCAAATTTTCATTAGTGCCAAATCAAAATTAATTGCAAAAATAACTTGAGCAAATATACTCCAGATACGAATTTCAGTTCAGATTTTTGTTTTGGCCTTTGGTTGGGAAATAATATAAGCTAACATGAAACAAAATCTCTTACGATTTAGTTTGGGTGTATTGGTATATTATGAGTTTGGTTTTAACCAGATATATCATTTTTTGCAGGTTCAGTTTTTATTCAATTCGGTCCAGTTTCATTTTTATTACATTAAAAGATAAGTTTATTTTTGCCAGAACCATGGTATGATTTTCAGTCCATTTAATTCGTTTCTATTAAATATTTATATTCTACTACATTCATTTCACAAAATGACATTTTTAACACAATTTTACGTTAAAAACATACATAAATATATTTAATTTATAACTTAGATTCAAAATTTATTTAGTTTCAAAATTGAGTATGAAAAGTTACAAAGTCTATTCTATCTTCAATCATTTTTATTATTCTTATTGGGTTTTTTTCTCGTTCTTTTTAATGATTGTTATTATTTGTTAAATATCTTGAAATACAGATAACCACAAGAGGTTAGTACTTAGCCTAGAAGTACTTGAAGTGTAGCCTTCAATTAAATTTAACATGGCAACCATTTTAATTAAAAACCTCCCCCTGCCTCCTTTGTCTCTACTTAAGGGCCAAAATTGCCCCTTTACTTGACTTAATTCCAATTAAAAAAAACCTTAATAAAAGGAATTAACGATGGCTAAATTTTGGTCAAAATCTCACACGCTCTTTTTTTTTTTTTGGTTTGCATGCTCTTCGACACGTGCTCTCGTCACTCTCTCTGAAATTAGCTGGCTCCCCAAAAAAAAGGTTCCCTTTAGGAAACTCCCCTCTCCTCCAAATGGTTCTCTCTCCTCCACTGCCTATAAAACCAATTCATCTCTCCCACTTGATTTTCCATCTCAAACAACACAAATCAAACTCGTATCTACAAAAATTCTTCAAATTCCCACTGTCAACAAATACGAATCGGGTTTTGATCTAAAACTAAGTATAATGGATTTCTCCGGCGTGTTTCTCATTCTCTTCACGGTGGCTCTGTTTCTCTGTTTACTCCGGTTTGCCGCCGGATTCCGCCGTAGCTCCTCCTCGAAACTCCCTCTTCCTCCGGGAACAATGGGCTATCCTTACATCGGCGAAACATTCCAGCTTTACTCACAAGACCCAAATGTGTTCTTCGCCTCAAAACAGAGAAGGTCTAATTTTGCAAAAAGATCGAAAATTTGAAGTTTGTTGTCAATAACAGAAAAGTTGACTTTTTTTTTTATAATCTATTTTGGTGAAACAGATACGGATCGGTGTTCAAGACTCATGTATTGGGATGTCCATGTGTGATGATCTCGAGCCCTGAAGCAGCGAAATTCGTATTGGTTACGAAATCTCATTTGTTTAAACCGACTTTTCCGGCGAGTAAAGAGAGGATGCTCGGAAAACAAGCCATCTTCTTTCACCAAGGAGATTACCATTCCAAACTCAGGAAGCTTGTTTTAAGAGCTTTCATGCCTGATTCAATCAGAAACATGGTCCCAAACATTGAATCAATCGCTCAAGAATCACTCAATTCCTGGGATGGAACTCAACTCAACACTTACCAAGAAATGAAAACAGTAAGCTCCCACACCTTTCTCTCTCCTCTAATTTCTTTCTTAAAACAAAAAAAAACAGAGTGTCCCCTGTTTCTCTATCTCGCTCTTCTCTGTTTTGGTCACAACAAGTGTCTTCTTTTTTCTTCTGAGCTTAAAAAAAAACAGAGTATCCTCTGTTTTTTTTTTGACAAGACTGTTTCTGACTCTATTTTTCTTTTTGTATCAACAGTATACTTTCAATGTGGCGTTGATCTCAATACTCGGAAAAGACGAAGTATTCTACCGAGAAGATCTAAAACGATGCTACTACATTCTTGAGAAAGGTTACAATTCGATGCCGATTAATCTCCCGGGAACACTATTCCACAAAGCCATGAAAGCTCGTAAGGAGCTAGCTCAAATCCTCGCTAAAATCTTATCCAAAAGAAGACAGAACTCCGGTTCCTACAAAGATCTCCTCGGATCATTCATGGAAGACAAAGAAGGACTAAGCGACGAGCAAATCGCCGACAACATAATCGGAGTAATCTTCGCGGCAAGAGACACAACGGCGAGTGTGCTGACGTGGATCCTCAAGTACTTAGCGGATAATCCAACTGTTCTAGAAGCTGTCACTGTAAGCACATTTTTTCCCAAAAGGACACTTCAAGATCTCATAAAGGAGTGGCAGTTTCGTAAATTAATGGGGTTTTATTGGGTAAAAAACAGGAAGAGCAAATGGCTATAAGGAAAACGAAAAAAGAAGGAGAAAGTCTAACTTGGGAAGATACAAAGAAGATGACATTAACTTCTAGAGTCGTCCAAGAGACAATGAGAGTTGCTACAATCTTATCTTTCACATTTAGAGAAGCTGTAGAAGATGTTGAATACGAAGGTATGTACAAATTATACGTATTGTATATCATATTCTTAGATCAATATGTTACACAAGAAATATACTAAAGTTTAATTTCTGGTTTCTTTGTTCACAGGATATTTGATACCAAAGGGATGGAAAGTATTGCCACTATTCAGAAATATTCATCACAATGCTGATTTCTTTTCTGATCCCGGAAAATTTGATCCCTCGAGATTCGAAGTTGCGCAGAAACCAAATACGTTCATGCCATTTGGAAGTGGGATCCATTCTTGTCCCGGCAATGAGTTAGCTAAACTGGAAATCTCCATCCTAATCCATCATCTCACCACTAAGTACAGGTTGGTACTTATAAAATCATATTAGTCCTTTTTGAAGTTGAGGTGAAACGGCGTTGGATTGGTATTTTTGGGATCTTTTTTCTGATAAAGGGTAATTCTGTAATTTCAGGTGGTCAATAGTGGGACCTAGCGATGGAATTCAGTATGGGCCGTTCGCTCTTCCACAGAATGGGTTACCTATTGCCTTGCAACGAAAACCAGAGGTTGACGTTTGACACTTACGAGAGTACCCCTTAGCTTTCTAAAATTAGAAAGTTTAAGAAATTCTTTCCATCTTAAAGAGAAAAGTGATTCTCTTTCATTTCTTTGGCGAAGAGACAAAAATATAGAAATGAAACGGAAAATAGAACAAGAAAAAAAAACCCAAATGGGACCCCCCAAGTGTACATAAATTTCTCCTATTTTTTTAGTCTAGGTTTTAGTAACTAAATGTAGAGAATTAAATTTTGCGAGAAAATGGAAAATAGTTTAATGTGTATACGATAGGCGAAGGAAAGACCCCCATTTATTTCATAGCGCCTGGGCAAGATGTAAGCTGGTTCGTCAGTTATAATTGAGAATTTCCCACTCTTTTGTTTCTCGTTTTGGTTTTTGTTATTTCTCTGAAATTGTAAATTCTTTTGTTATCAATGGGTGAATATAATTCATGTAATGCTCGTAGCAAGTTTCCAACAAAATTTCCAGTACTACTACTCAGTATAATTGTTTAACTAATCTTGTTAACTTCTATGATCATACTTTCAACAAAATATTTGTACTAAACTTCTCATGTATACTATTTTTATGTCAAGTAATCACAAATGAAGCTCAAAATATCTCTTATCAAAATTGTTGCATAAACAATACAAATTTGAAATTTCACTTATTCGATTTTTGATGATCAGGAATTCAGGATCTTAGGTAGTTTGATTGATGATCAGGATCTTAGGTAGCTTGATTGATGTTACATGAAGTGGAGTATGTAAACACGTTTTGAGATTTGCAGTATACAAGATAAATCGTGTAAGAATATACTAATATATGGCATCGACGAATAGAATCATGATCAATAGTTTACCATTCACTTGGTTAGTTTTTTTTTTATAATTTTGACCAAAACACTTGTTACTTATGTAACACTTTAACTAATGATAATCTTAAAATTTAGCTGGTCAGAAGAATTCAATACCTTTTCGTGATGAAAAGTAAATACCATATCAAAGACAGTTGGAGACTTGGAGTAAACCAGTTTTTGAAATTATTTAATTAAATAACGTAGGAATTGCTAAAAGCTGATTCCATTCTAATATTTTTACCGACGACTTTGACCAAAAGTCGTGAATAATGTGCTCACTCGGTCAATGTGATTAAATTTAGTTTATACTTTCCTTCGTTTATTAATATAAGGTGATTTCGAATTTTCATTTTATAATACAAAATATTTTGATATTTTAATATTATTAATAGTTTTTGACCCAGTGAATATATAATATTAAATTAAATGCTGTGGATATGCTCGTTAAATTATTAGTAAGAAATTTAATATTTTTTTTGTTTGGGCAAAGGGGGGCCAAATACCTAATTGCTAGTAACTAGTAAATATCATTGTTATATTATTTTTTCAGAATATACAACTGTAAATCTATATTAGCAAAATCACTTGGATGTTTTTCTTGATTATTTGTGAAGAGATGGATCCAAACTTCAATCTTCAATCTTCAATCTTCAAAGATCTTGTAAAATTCTAATCATCGTGGATTGTGCCAAAGGAAAAACAAATATAACATATACAAATGTGAATATATATTAGCAAAATTACTGAATATTTTTCTTGATTATTTGTGAAGAGATGGATCCGAACTCCAATCCTCAAAGATCTTTGTATAACTCCAATCATCATTGGTGCTAACAAAATTAAAACAATAGCTTGTTTTTTTTTTCTTTGGCACAAACTCATTTTAATTCAAAGTCATGTACATTTGTTGCAATTTTAATCAATAAAGAACAGAAATAGATGATAATTAAAAAAAAAACTTTTTTTCCACCAGTATGAGATAATACACAAAAGATAAAATAAATGAAAACTATACTTCATTTGAGAGCAATCCATGCTATCCATCTTGGTAATCCTCTCTTGGTGAGTGAGAAAATCTGAGTGATCTAAGGCTATAATTGATTTGTTAGGTAGGCTTATGGCCGAACCATATGGTACGCATAAGAGATTCGAACTCGTTTGATCATATGTGCATTCTCGTTGTTCTCTTCTTTTTTCTCCTGTACCGTTTTCTAGTTTTTGGTTCTCCTAAACTATGATTGTTCTCCTTGGTTAATTGGACTCTAGGTCATTATTAGCTATTATTCAATGAGGCCTCGTTGGTTAATGTTGCTTTTGAATTGGCTAATTTAATTACTTCTCTCTTTTGTGGGCTTTTTGTTACTTTATCAACAAAACATGAATATTGTACTGAGATTAGTTATGTGTCAAAAATGAAAATGGATTATTAATAGGGTGTCAAAAACAAAAATATTGTAGGTTGGTTCAAAGTTAACCTTAAAAAAATTTAAAATTAATGGGGTGTCAATTGAATTCCCTATGTTCTACAAAGGTCCGCCACTGGTTAACCAAATACTCCTTTTAAACCAGTTCAAATCAATTTTATTAGTGGTTTACAAAAGGCCATTAACGGCTCATTAGGTTTTCAAATTGAATTAGAAAAAGATTTTGTAAATGGAAGTTAAGAAAATGGGCCTCAAAAAGGCCCAAATATTCTCAAAGATGGACCAACGGCACACAGATGTCCCCGCCTTTAAAATCACGACGGAGACGAACCTAAGCCATGACGGTTCAGAGAGAGATTTTTCAAAAATCAATATTGCAACTGGAGAGAAAGAGGAAGAACCCTAATCGATTTACATGCTCTGATTCGTTCTACTTTTTCGTTGTTTCCTTTCCACAAAATAACCTCTAAAATGGCGAGTGAGAGTTCCCAATCTTCCTCGCCATCCCCGTCGCCGTCTCCATCTCAATCTCCGTCATCTTTACCTTCTCCGTCGCTGGGAAACAATGTCGGCGATACGTTTATAGGGAGCTTCATCAGTCTAATTTCTAATTCCGAGATCCGTTACGAAGGCATTCTGTACCATCTCAACGTTCAGGACTCTACGTTAGGTCTGAAGAGCGGTACGGATTCGAAAACCTATTGCGATTTTCGGATTTCTCTATTTTAGTTTTTGTTTTGGTTCTAAAGCGGATTTACATGCTATTGTTTGTGTATTTGTATCGGCGACAGTAAGTATATCTCTCTATCGCTTTGTTTGCGTTTGGAGTTTGAGTTTTCAGTTTTATATGCTGGAATTTTGATTCTGATTCCGTTGATGTGGTGCTTTCTGGATTTGGTCTTAGATTCAAGGAAATGCAAAATCTGAGCATTCATTTATAAGTAGTTTCAATTCAAATATGTGTGGACATTTAGTGGAGAATGTAGAATTTGGTAACTCTGACCAAAATATGGAAACTTCTATGTAACCGAACCATGAGTGGTAAAGTTAGAAAACCGCAAATCAACCTGTGTTGCTATTCAAAATCTGCTGAATGATAATACTCTTGTGCTATTCAAAATCTGCTGAATGATAATACTCTGAATGATAATACTCTTGGTAAAGTTAGAAAACCGCTCAACCTGTGTTGCTATTCAAAATCTGCTGAATGATAATACTCTTGTGTTATCTATTGAATGGTATGGCAGTAAGATCTTGTGGAACGGAGGGGAGGAAGAAAGATGGGCCGCAAATTCCACCATGTGATACAGTTTACGACTACATTCTTTTTCGCGGAAATGACATTAAGGTTCTTGTTAAGACTCTTACCATTTACAGGTTTTATGTTTGATGTACTTCGTAGCTGGACTTATAACTTGGAATCTCTGAAACATGATCATTACAAAAGTTTGAAGATTATTTATAATTATTTAGGACAATAGTCCTCTAGAGCCGAAAAATTTAGTAATATAATCACTGATGATACTGTATTGGCGTTTTCAGGATCTGCAAGTTAACCCTTCTCAAAGTGGACAGGACATCAATCAGGTAAAGACATTCGTGTATAGCGTGGATAATGATAACTGTATGCTCAAACTTTTAGATTGCATGATTTTTCATTGTGTTATTCCCTCTTCCTTGTTTACAGTCCTCTCACTCAAGGCCAGTTATAAGCTCTCCTCTTTCTGGATACGATAGTGGTTACGGTTCGGGTAGAGGAGCACAGTGGCCCCATACACCTGCTTTGACTAGTAAACCGGTTCCTACCACACAGCATTCCTCTGTCCCTTTAAGTTTCCAGCCTCCTTCAGCTAATGCTAGAAGCTTGACGGAATCACCAGCAAGCCTTACTGGTCCAACAAATACTTTTCAGGCAACTCAAAGTAATGCTGGTCCGTCTATGCCCATGCCTTCTTTTGTGCAAGGAAACAAACTACCTTCCAGTGGTATCCCTCTTGGTATGATGCACAAGGCAATTTCATCCCCCTCTACGATGCACAATGATCCACAGATTGTAGATATGTTTTCTTCACCAATCATGGGGTTAGTAGATGATACATCACAGGTTGTTACTCGTACACCCGACGTTGCTTCTAATCCAGCACAATCCTCTAACCCTTCTCCCCTTGGTCAAGCTCAACGCCACGCTCCACCTGGCCTTGCTTCATCACCCTCCAACCTTTCTCCACTCTCTGAAGCACAGCTTTCTGCTCCATATAATCAGAACGGTTACCCCATTGCACCCCAGGCTGGTGGTAAAGTTGTCTACGACTCTCGGTCTAATCATCCTAACCGATCTATACCTTACGAGTTACCGGCTGTGACTTATGGCTCAGCTCCTGTGATTCCTGGTCCGTTTTCGAATTCGCCTCAGTCATTCTTGGGCATGGAGCCGTTACTGCAATCTAGGCAGCAGATGGTCAATAGGGGTCAAGAGATGTTTGGTGCAACTAACCCGGCATCAATGGATGTGCCATCACGAAGTCTTGCTACCACATATCAAGCGCCATTGCTGCCTCTTCCAGTTTCAGCTCATCAGGTCTCTCTTTTTTTCTTTTTAGTCTTATGTTCATGTTTTCTCGTAACTATCACATCTATGCATAATTTCTCATGGTTGTTATGAAATTTCTTCATGATTACATTAGTTATTAGAATCATGTTGGCACTAGCAGTGATCATTTACCCACTTATCAAGCGCCATTGCTGTTTGTATCTTTTTTGCCATCGTTTGTAATTTGGTTCTTCTTTTTCTGGTTCTAAATGTGTTGCAGCCCCCGATCCCTAGTTCTAGCATTGAGTTCACTGAAGAATTTGATTTCGAGGCGATGAATGAAAAGTTCAAGAAGAGTGAACTATGGGGGTTTCTCGGAAAAAACAATCAAGTTAATCACAGGGACGAAACTGCAGTTGCGCCAAGCGAAGAAGAGAAGGCAAAGGTATTCATATCTATCTTTATCAATTCTAATGAAGATCTGATATCTCAAGCCCTTGACGTTATTTTAGTTAACTTGCTCTATATGATATTTCAAGCCGCAGTCTTACATTTATTTGATGATATTTCAAGCCGCAATCTTACATTTATTTGCTTGTTGCAGCCTGCTTATAACAAGGATGACTTTTTCGATACAATCTCGGTCAATTCACTTGACCGTGTGGCTAGAAACGGACAACAACAACAACACGTCCAGTTTCCAGAGCACATGAGACAAGATCCTCAGGTTTGTTTCATTCTTTTTATATTCACCAACAGAAAGTTCTGTTCCTCAAATTACAATAGTGTTTATTTACCTTATTTCAGGTATTTGGTAACCATTTTCAAAGGCCGCTTCAACCACAACCAGGCCAAGGTGCATATCTCGCTGCACAAACCAATTACAGAGGCGGATATAATAATAACAACAACAACAACTACTACGCAAATTCGGGTTATGGTTACTACTCTGGTGGGAGAGGCCGAGGCAGACACTCACATTTCTGATCTGGTGAATTTCTGTCTTCCTAAAATAGAGCTTTTGTTGTTCACTCTCGCACTCGCACTTTCTTTTGCTTACTTCTCTTTTCGAATTCACTTTTTCGAGTAAAAAAACAGTTTTTACGGTAACTATATCTCAATATTGTTAGGCATATCATATTTGCAAGTTCCAAGTTCCTATTTTTTAGTCTGTCTGATGAGCTTAACCCTCAGGAGAGAATGTTGGTTCTCCATGTAGAGAAAAAAACAAAAAGTACTATGAACCTTTTGGTATATGCAAATCATTAAATACATATTTTATATGCTTTGTTATTCAGTACTTAATATATAAATATAAACATAGGCCAAAGTTAGTAACACTTACAAGTTAAGAATTTCTTTCTACATAACATAAAAGCACATTAGACATAAGATATAAATATATATATAAGTAGAAGATTCCTTAAAATCTAAGTATACAACTTTAGACAATTATGTATGTTACTTGCAATACCCATTTTGCCTTTACACCAAGGGAAAGAAAGATACCAAAGACTTTCCCCACCACTTAGGGTTAAGTACCCAATCCTTCGTTTCCATTATCCTCTCTCTCTTTCTCTCAAACCCACCAAAAAGCCAAGAACTTGGTCCCAGCCCGGATGCTGTCTCATCAACCCCTAACCAAAACCCGAGTCCGAGAGCCACCAGCCACGTAAAATAATGCCCAGATTGACCTCTCGTCATGGCACCAGTCCTTTCATCTGGTGTGCAGCCATCATCTGTGCCATCATCTCCATTGTTGTGATATTTGGTGGCATTGTTGTCTTCGTTGGTTACATGGTCATTCACCCGCGAGTTCCCATCATTAGCGTCACCGATGCTCATCTCGACTTCTTAAAGTACGGTTTCCAAGACACTTTCCCCATTTTCTTGATCTTGAATCTTGAATCTTGATCGTTAATAATCGATTTTTATTTTGTTTTGTTCGGTTTTATTGACTCAGATATGATATAGTTGGAGTCATGCAGACGCAGTTAACGATTATAATTCGCTCAGAGAATGATAACGCTAAGGCTCACGCGTTGTTTGATGATACCGTGTTTGCGCTAAGCTATGAAGGTAAAACGATTGCGTATTTAAAACAGGACGAGTTTGAAGTTGATAAAGAGAGATCAATGTACGCTCATTTCCTGGTTCAGTCATCTCCAATACCTTTGAATCCAACGATGATGCAAGCCATTGACTATGCGATAAAACAAGATGTGATTACGTTCGAGCTCAAAGGTGGGTCAAAGACTAGATGGCGAGTCGGACCATTAGGATCGGTCAAGTTTGAGTGTAATCTTAGCTGTGAGCTTAGGTTTAGACCGTCTGATCATAGTTACATCCCATCTCCTTGCACTTCTGCTCATAAGCATTAGGAGCTCTTCGTCTCTCATTTGATTTTTCTTTTAAATTAGTTAGTTTTATTTATATATTTTTGGGGTTGATTTTTATTTTATTTCAAAAGTAATGGTAACAATCAATATAATTGTTCATAATATACTATCAAATGAACCTGAATAACTTTGAATAGATGTCACGAAGGAAGCTGTTAAGAATGAATCCTCAAACTCACTCTCAACAGTAAATCAGCTGAATGGTATTTCTTATTGATAGAATAGAATCGAGAAGACAATGTAATTACAATGAGATATTAGAATTGCCAACAATCAATCTCTCTCGCAATCTCGTGATCGCCTCAAGTCTTTCAACTCACTCAACAACTTCCCACAATGAAGTCTAAAACAAATTCAAATGACAACACATAACAATATAGACGAAGGATCTCTCGTAACAGTAAACCCTTTCTTCGAACGAGAGTCTTTCTTGGGTCAACGTTCCTTCAGTCAACGATCTTCTCATGCCTCTTGTGCTTATAAACCTTCTTTCTTTCTCCTGGATTAAGTATGTTGCAGCTTATCAGAAGCTTATTTTTCATCCTACAACATAAAGTTTACTTTTGCCGAAACCTTTTTCTTTAGGCGTGGAAGGCCTAATCACTTGGTTCACGGCACTTACCTATTAACCATTTTTTTTTTGTAATTGGAAGACTACAGGAAAAAAACAAACTTTTTTGGGGTAAATTTTAACTTCTACCTCTAATTCGGACTATTTATTGTATGTATCTAGTCTTTGGAAAACATCGACTTTTTGGACCTTGAGTGTTGTTCTAAGCCTGGGCATAATCACTATAGTACTACATGTAGAAAATGCTTGGAGGCGTACAAATTAACAAACAATCAAAATAGTTGAGTTAAAAAGATTTTTATTTTTATTTATTGATTGTGGAAGCAACCTGAAACATTTGCTCTAGGCTTTTAATATGCATCTCGCATGATTAACTTAAATCATTAACTTAAATCCTGTAAAATATTATTGTGTCCCCGTTCCATCTACATTCGTAAAAAACAATGTAAAATAGTAGCTCAACAATACAATATTGAGAGTTATTGTGATGATATCAAAAGTTTTTGCCACTTAAATGGATACTAGTTTAATTATCATATATATATATATATATAATTTAACATATGTATGTATGTATATTAAAAATAAATAAATTAACATGAAACAAATTTTTAACAATCAAAAATCTTTTATTTAAACAGATGCTCTTCACGAATGTTTGTCCACATCATTTATAATTAACAAGTTTTTAAACTTTGAAATATACAGTTATTTTAAACTTCGAAATACATATCTTCTTGAAATTCGAAACCCAGCTCTTTTGGATCATGATCTGCTCAAAAGTTGTGCACGAAATGAAAAATTCAATAATTGTTTCATCTTTTACATAATATTTTTGAAATTAAATTTAAAATTTTGTTTTGTTTTGTTTTGTTTCATAAGGTCCACAGACTCGATCTTTGGCGTTTGGAAGATAGCATAAATCTGATTAGTCAACGGATGTACGATTGCGTTCTGGTTCTTCTGAGAACGGATGAATAGTTTTGATTGTACATATTATTCGGAGACTTTGATACAATTTCTTCGACTTTGATATAGTGTCCTATTTTCGTCTTTGATATAGCGATCTCATCTTTTATTTGTTCGGAAAAAATTTAAAAATCTGAGGGCAATATGATTCAATATGATTCAATGTCTTTGTCACATCTGTATCTGTATATCCTTTATCTACTTTCTTTTAATCTGTCTAGCTCAGTAGCGCATAATTATTTTCTTATCCTCCCTCTTATTCTTTGAATTTCTTTTGTTTATATATTTGAGTAAAACAACGTATTATTATTTGACAAAAAAAAAACAACTTATTATTATAAAATAAAAAACTAAAAAGCATGCATTTTAGCAAAATATTCATTTTAATGCTTTTACCAAATAAAAAAAAGCAGGATTGAACACTCCCTATCAGAAACTACTGTTCTCACTGTTAGAGTTAGCTGTTGTTGGAGTTCCAATTGGACAATCACTGTCATCTTCTGCAGATGTTAAAGTGCTCACTTCACTTTGACTACTCTCCCCATTCATCCTCGTCCTCGCCGCCGCGGAAGAACTAACGTTACAAACTTCATCGTCAGGTTCATACACCAAACTGAACCCACACTTAACCACTTCACATTGTGCAATCTCTTCACCAGTCTCATCTGTCACTTGGAATCTTAGGATAGCTTTGGTAGGAACACATCCTTTCTTGAACTCTTCTTCCTGTCGTCTCTTGATGTTTAACCAACTTATGTAGCCGATAAAGACATGATCTGACTCGATCGTACGTGGCTCATTCCCTGTTTCAAACCAACCTTCAACAGGAACACTAAACCGGCTACATGGTGCATCTAAATTTTCAAACTCACAGGTGCATTTAGCCAGGAGACGGTTGTTTTGATCTCTGTAGTCACGAAACGAGACAGTGGCACATAGAGCTATTCCAAGAAACTTATTGTTGCACCAATGTGGAGGTAGCTTTGGTTCTAACACTGAACCATAAGCTTGGTGACTGAACCATGGAGGTACTTCGTATCCAGGATAGCAAGTCCCAATTAAAGCTCGAGAGACAAAATTCTGCGAAGGACAAAAAAAAATATCAGAAAACTAAAAGATTTTAGCAGATAATGGTGGAGTTGAGGCTTGAGATGAAAAAGAAAAGACTACCCCACTGTGGTGATCATCTGAGATCAATTGGCATTTTCTACGAACGTGGGATGCAATTTCATTCTTTGCGGCCTCACTGAGTTTACAACAGTTAGTGAAGATGAACATAGTGTGAATCTCTTCTGTTGGCATAATTAAAGCTAGAGGACTCGCGACTGTTTGCAGGGAGATACAACCATGTGCATCTAAGCATTGGAGATTCGGTGGAAGTGTCGAAAGAGATCTGAGTTTCTTGCAGTGCTTCAAGTCCAGCCATTTGAGATGATACAGTTGACTGATGTCAGATCCTAAGCTGCTGATCACATCATTTCTGCTTAAAGATAGACGGCGCAGAAAGGATAGGTTGTTAATACCGCGTAGTATATTTGGAACCTCTTCGACTGAAGTTTCATCAAGTAGCAAACCCGGAATTTTTCCATGTTATCTTCGACATTTGGAAACTCTTGAGATTGGAACAGCGCGAGAGATTAAGTTCCTGAAGCGATTTTAGATTTCCAATACACTCTGGAAGACTCCCCAGCATCCTGCACTGTTTCAGGTTCAATAAGATAAGTCTCTGAAGCTTCACAATGTCTGAAGGGAGATCCTTTATTGCAGTTCCATCTAAGTACAGATATTCAAGATTTTCTGAAATTAGCTGAAATTCATGAAGCTCCGAACAGCCACTGAGTATAAGAGTTTTCAATGAACTCAGATTCATCTTCGGTAGATGGCAGAGACTTGTGCATCCTCTTAGGTTCAAGAAAACAAGACTTTCCATTGTCTTCATCTCTTCAGATAAACATTTTAGACTTGTGCAACCTTCAAGATTCAATCTTAAGAGATTTGGGGCCTTTGAAAACCCTGACAACGTCTGCAACATTCTCGAGTTGCTAAGATCGACCCACTTCAGTTTTGGTGTATCCTATTAAAACCACAAACCAGTCAGTAATCTACTCAACCATAACAACAAAGAAACCAGACATATCAATACTAACCTTGGAAAGTTTCCAGACTTTTTTAATATTGCTGTAAGGCAGCCTGAGATCAACAAGATCCTTCGGGTTGAAGTCTGATGGAAGTTCCTCCAATGGGAATTTAAGCCAGTCGAGGTATCGGACCTCTTCCAGTGGTAACGAAAGTCCATCAGGGAAGTTTAACTTGCAGTCGCCTTCACATTCCCGAGGACAAGTGGAATTGTAGAATTTAAGGTACCAGAGATTGCGCATTTTGGTAAAGGCCGAACTGTCTAAAGGCATGTCCGTTACTTCAGACGTGTCTAGAGAAATGCCTCTCACAGTTTCAGTTTCCTGAAAATAAAAAAGTTAGAAGAAAAAAAAAGCATATACTCACTTATCACACTGATACCATAAGAAAGTTGGAAGCTTTAACAGATTGATTAGCCTCACCATTTTTTCCTGCAGCGCAGCCACAATGTCGTTACTTTTCCACAGCCTACATTTCTCTTGATCTTTTTGTTTTTTGGTAAAACATTTCTCTTGATTTGTTTCACAGGATGATAATGAACAAAGCTCCAAGGCAAATGTATGTAGTATATCATGCATCTCTACGCGCCCGCCAGAGAAACTAATTAAAAATTTGTAGGCAAGAGCCGTTATCTCACTGGCAGCTTCGGAGGACTCATGATCCCCAGAATCCAGTAAGCTTCTAGTATAATACTCATCCTCTGATCTGAAGAAACACGCTATGTCAAGGAACGCATCTTTCTCCTGTTTACTAAGTCCATCATAACTTATCTTCAATAGATCTTGAATTCTCTTGTTGGGACATTTTGCCATTGTACCAAGCCGCGCTTTCCAGAAAGCCACACCTTTTCCAAGAAGTTCCTTACCCAATAACCTGAGAGCTAATGGGTTGCCTCTAGCGTAATCCACAAACTCTCTAGACAAATCTCTCATCTCGAGATCGCAGATGCTAGCTTTAAAGGCATAAAAGCTGAAGTACATCAACCCATCATCAGGGTTTAATCTTGGAACCACGTAAGGATTTGGATCAAACTCAGTGATGAATGCCCTGTCACGGGTGGTAATAACAATCCTGCTCCCTTCCTTGATCCAGTTTCGGTTCCCAAGAAGAATTTCTATATGTTTTGCGCTACTCACATCGTCAAGAACAACAAAGATTTTATTAGAGCGCAGTGTACTCTCTAGGTAATCAACATATGCAGTCTCACCAGCTATGTAGCCCTCAAGTAAATTGAAATCTTCAAGGAAACTCTCCCTCAAACGAACACGACCAAGCTTTAATAACTTCTCACGGATATTCAGAAAATTCACGCAACGATAGAACTTGGGTTTGTACCTCTTGAACAGCTCCGTTGCGAGAGTGGTTTTTCCAATACCAGGCATCCCAACGATTCCGACGATTCGAGTTTCGTCGCCGCGATCGAAACCGAACTTTTCCACGACTTGCTTAATCCGGTGCTCGATTCCAAAGGGCGTAGCCATTTCAGGCTCTTCTCCTTCCAAACATGGAATGGTGCTGAGCGTTTTCATGACCTCGTCGACGATTTTCTTGACGAAATTGGCCTCGTCACTGCCATATAACAAGAGAGATATCAACTCAAGTGAGAGTACGGTACTGAATCGAATTCGAACAAATGATTCAGTCACCAGGTGGTCTCATCGGATTATGGTTCAAAGGAGAATCCTCTGAGATTAGGGTCGTGTGGAGAAGTGGCAGCGATAACATTTCAGATTAAACAAATTGATCAAACCAGAAAAAAGCAAACCGAAAATGAAGTCATATTTCTATAGGCCGGTCAGCTATATATATATATATATATATATATATATATATATATATCTCCAACCATCCAAAACCAATTACTAAATCCAATCAATCTACGACAAAAAAAAAAAAAATCCAATCAATCTAATATCCAACCTAAACAATTATATCAAACATATTTCCAGCTACTCCAACCATACTTGATATTAATTTATTTATAAATTAATATTTTTTAATTAAATTCTATTTTTTAAAAAGTTTTCTCTTTAATAATATTATATTTAAAAATTTAAATGAATTTGCTTGTAAATTTACATGGGCAAACTTAAATTTCTGACAATTAATCTAAGCAATTGCAATCGCCAAAAAACTACATATTGTATATTAGATTATCCATATAAGAATATATATATATATGCAGTAGTACGAAATTAATAAAAAGTTATAGCTACCATCTTTAATATTAATGATAAAATTGAATACAATACTACAAAACATTTAAAAATATTTACACAAATGATCATATCTAATTTTTTTTTTACAAATTCATGAGATAAGAAAAATAATATTAGAAGTTATTGATATAAATAAAAAATAAGTTTCAATAAAACTTAATTTTGAGTAAAAACAAATGACACATTAATTATATTTTAGTATAGGAAAAATTTCATATAAAATTCTCGACTAAATTATAATGAACTCTTTAAATCCTCAATTTTTTGGTTGTCCAGAAAAAAATCTGAAGTATTTTTGTCTACTTCAAATTTTCAAATATAATCTGTATATTTATTTTACACCGTATACGAAACGACAGTAAATGAAAATAGAACGGTGTTCGAATCCCATCAACAAACTAACTATAATAACTCCTAATGGTTAAGCAATGGTTAAACTATCCCAACATGTATCCTAAACCCGATATATCTATTCTCGAGCAACCTAAAACCCGATCTAAACCATGACAGAAGCACAATCCTTAAATTGAGTAGAAACCCTAAAACTCTCAATTCCCAGATGAACTCTAAGTCGAGTTGATGAGATTGAATTGAAAGAAAATCAAGAAAGATTAGGTATATGTCAACCCTAAATCGAGTCCTTATTTCAATTTTGTGTGTGTGTGTTGAATATTGCTAACGTTGATGAATGTGTGTGTGTTTGTGCAGTAACAGAGATGACAATCTGAAGCTCTACATTCACTATAGAGGTTCAATGTCGAAGGAAGGAAAAAAGTTATGTTATAAAGGAGGATAGATGGATCTTGATATACCCCGACTTACTCACATTTTCAATTTTCGAAGATTTTAGTAGAAATCGTGAAGTTGTGAATGATATGGTGAAATTGTGGTATAGACTACCTAGTGATGATATGTCAATAGTTAGATCTATATATGAGGATAACGATCGTGAGCTTATGAAGATGGTGTTAGAAGCAAATGAATGTAGAGAGGTTCACATCTACATTGAACATTATGAGATTCCACCATCCGTTGGTGTTGAGGCTGAGGTTGTTAACTGATGTTGTTCGTACTGATGGCACTGAAAACGGTAGTGATGGGGAGGATGGAGAGGAAGAGGACGATGGTGAGAATGGTGATGATGAAAGTAATAGTGATGACGAGGATATAGAGTAAAAGAGTGACAAGAGTGATGTTGAAAACAGTACGGAAGAAAATGAGGAAGAAGAGAGACATGAAGAAGGTGGTTTAGGAGAAACTAGAGAAGAAGAGAGTGGACTGCAATCTGAGGATGAGAATCAGATATTAGGTGAAGGAGCTGTTGACCCACGGTTTGACAATCTGTTTGCATCACTCAAACAAGAGCCTCCTCTTGTATTTCGTGGTGAGACTACTCAGACTATAGCAGATGACGAAGCTGTTGATAGTGACATTGAAGGGAAGAGACAAAGGAAAGATAGTGAATACCCAGATTCTCTGGCAGACACTGATGAAAAATGGGCTAATTGGAAGAACACAAACGATTGTGGAAAGAGGTTCAAAGGGAAGAGTAAGGCTGATTATGATCAGCCTCCATACTTATGGTTGATGCAAACCTTTAACAATGGGGATGAATTCAAGGATCAACTATTGAGGTATGTTTTGAAAACTCAATACGATGTGAAATTGTGTAAGTGAAACTGTCAAAGGTATGCAGCCATATGCACACACGAGAAATGGAGTAGCTATTAAATTTAGGGTTTACACATTTGGAGATTTATAAAACAAATCTCATTTTAACCATGGTTAGATAGATAACAGACAATCAGAGTAAGTAAACATCATCGTAAGTGTCATTAACCTCTGTTATCGAGACATTTTAAAATGATCACACCGATAACATTTGAAGATTTAAAGTGGGCAGAAAATATATTTCAGGTTTTTTTTGGGCAGTAAAAAGTTAAAAAATTAAAAAGCTCATCATTGAAATTTAGTTGATGATTTTATATGGAATTTTTATTTTAGTATATTACCTTATTTATCTATACATAAATCTATATACTTATTTGTGTAGTGATTTGCTTACGTGTCGCGCTCACAACGAGTTTCACCGCTGTTCGCTTACGTGTCAGCTCCAGAATGAGTTTTGGCTGCAAAAAAACCGTTTAGCTTTATTTTCCAATTACATGTCATTTTTTTATTGGTTCTTATCTGATGACGTGTAAAAAAAACTTAAAACAAATCGGTCTAAATTATTATAGTTTATTGGTTAATTTTGCTGTTAAATTAAACCGTTTTAAAATTTATATTAAACCGAAATTTAGAAACAAATAGACAAAAATGTTTTTTAAAAAAAAAAATACAAAAACTAGAAATTTTACCATTTCTTATGTTTCCAAAAATTTATGTTAGAATATCGTTAATTATTATAGTGTTTACGATTTCTTATATTTATATGGTTTTCGATTTCTATAATCTTATAAAACCAAAATTTAGTAAAAATCTAGGAAACAATTGAAAAAAAACAATAAATGAAATCTATATGTCTAATGAAATGTCGTTAATTATGATATCTAGAATAGAATTTTCGATTTCTTACTACATACTTCAGAAAGATTTTTGAACCCTTTTGTTAAAATCAAAAGCTTATTTTTAAATTTTGGATTCGTCTAACTTAGAATAGAGATAAATTTTTTTTTGAATATTCTTAAAATCATTTATTTATAAAATTATGTTTGGTTAACATATATAGAAATTAACTAGTTTATATAAATATTAAATTATTTTGTTGTTAGGACTATATTTATATAAGAGTTTCAAAAAAATTATTATTTTATCGAATTTAATGGATTTTTACATTGCTTCGACTCAAGACTAGAAAAAATTATTATTATATAATAATTATCAATTTTATCTAATATTAATTTATAAAAGTTTTCGTTAAAATCTGGTGTTATTTTGTACTCAATTTTTCATTGTGTTTAACTATTTCACAAGTTTTTGATTTCATATTAGATTTTAACAAAATGTCTTTTAGTTATCGAATATGAGAACAAACATCGTTATTTTGATCAGATTTCGAAAATAATTGTTAAAACCTACACGGTTTACAATGAACCCAATCTACAACCCAATCTACAAAATAGTTATAAGATTTCACAATCCAAATCAATTAAGATACATAAACCAACTTTTTAGGGAATCCCAGATCAAAACCCAGACTAAATTTTCTCAAAAAAAAAAAAAAAAACCCAGACTAATTCCCTGAACTCTGAAGCCAGACTATAAAAAATTCCAGATTAAAACCCAGACTAAAAAATCGAATTTTCCTGCCAATGAAGTCGTATACCGATGACAAAAATGATTGAAATCGGGCATAAGTACACATTGATATAAACATAAACCAAGCATACCCCAAAAAAAAAGCATACCAAAAAAAAAAAAAACATAAACCAAATATTCCCCTATCTATCTTCACTACCACATTAAAAAGTTCACATTGGTAACCATAAATTGCTAGAGGCACTCTTTGACCAAGTCAGGATTTACACATTCACCTATAAATTATAGCCCTGAACATAACAATTTCCTTAAAAAAATATAATGCGAAGGGTGCCAAAGTAATACCTTTTTTCGTTCAAAGTCAAGCCCATCTTTGACTTAATACATGTCAATGCCACCTTCCACTTCTTCTTCATAATGTGCTCATCATCATGCACATTGTGATGACTCTCACATGCTTCATCAAGGAGCTTTTCTAACTCATCTGGCTCAACCTTATAGAATATGGGAATCGCCACAATTTTGTTTTCATCGACACGTTCTTTGATCGCCACCAGCTCGTTCAAACACCATTTTGATTCCATGTACCTTCTCGAAAACACGACTAATGCGATATTTGATTCTTCGATCCTACGGAAAAGAGCCGTTAGATCTTCTCCCCTCATCTCTTTTTTGTCTGTGAACACATTGATCCCTGCATTTTCCAATGCCTTCTCCAGATAACTGATGAGGCCGTGGCGAACATCTCCCCGGAAATTAAGAAACACTTGATTGCTCGGAAGCAGTGGTTCTTGGACGGCCATTTTAAGATTTTTGGTTGGATATAGTTTGGAGACAAGGAGACAGTATATGTGTAAGAAAATGAAGTTTCATAGTTTCTCGTTAAGTATTATGGGACAACATTGACAGGTCAACAACATGCTAAGTTCATTCCACGATCTAATTCTTGATATATTCTTAAGACAACACTTGTTGTCATTTACTTTGGCCTTACAAGGATTTATTTATTTTATATTTCAACAAGCCCGTGCCAAATGGGAATGTTTCTTTTTTTTTTAAGCTCATTATTGTATTCACTTTTGGTTTTGTTTAGTCGCATTGGACGCACATGTATAATGGACAAGACCGTCGTGCAACGAACTAAAGTTCCTTGCAAGGTATTGGTGGGTATGGTCTATGAAGGACCACAGTCTTATCAAGTCTAACCCTAATCTCTTGTGCAGGTTAATCTATATGCTCAAGGAATTTAGATTTTTTTTTTGTGGTTTTCAAGTTCATTTCATAACAGCTTGAAGAAACAGAGAACAAGCCTTCCTTTTCTCTTTCTTGTGCTCTGAGAGAGAGAGAGAGAGAGAGAGAGAGAGAGAGAGAGAGAGAGAGAGAGAGAGAGAGAGAGAGAGAGAGAGAGAGAGAGAGAGAGAGAGAGGGAGAGAGAGAGAGAGAGAGAGAGAGAGTTATAACCTCATCATCACCATATACAGTCGTCAGAAATGTTTTATAGATTGATTATTAAAGATTGCTGTTTCGTAGTTAGTACGTGATCTTATGTTACAGCTTAATAACTTTGATTGCGATATACTTTCGAGTGTAGTCAAATGAAATAATGAATAGTTTATATTAATTTTAATAGGCTTTTAAGAAGGGAAAAATGTTAATTCATTGAACACTACAAGAAAACAGCCTTAAACAGCCTTCGACGGCCATATTTGTCGAATATCCGTGAGAAAAGATGCTTTCCGATGGATATTACGTGTTGGATTAATCCGTCAGTATGATGGATTTCCGACGACCTCTACTCCAACGACTTTTTGCCAGAAATTCGATGGAAAAACGGTCATCGGAAAGTGTTCGAAAATTCTGATAGAAAACCGAAGACATTATTTTTGATGACTTTACGATGGATTAATTTTTTGACGAAAAACTGACGAATTGATTTTCGACGACTTTCCGACAGATATCATTTTTGACAGAAAACCAACGTTTTTTTTTTTATAAACATTTCTGACGACTTTCCAACAAATATTATATATTAAATAAAAGAAATTTAATTTAATAAATAGATAAATTTAATTAATTTTATAATTTAAATTTAAATTCCAAAATAAAAAACATAATTTTCAAAACATAAATTATCTAAAAAAATAGTCTTAAACTAAAAAAAACAAAACTATTTAAATAAATCCAGAAAATGCAACTCCATAATTTGTTTCATCTTAGCTACCTCATCTCAAATCGCGGTGTGAGCGGTCGCCAACTCCTCATACCGCTGCTCCATTGCCTCAATCTTCTCATCAGGTACTTTGACGTCCTGAGTTAACCATTCGATGTCCGTTTCGTACTTCGGAGGCGGGTATTGATAACCGGAACTAGAATACTTCATGCTCGGAAGTCCCGCTAACCCAACGATACGTTCCTTGTTCGTGTTTGCTGCAAAAAAACGATCTGGTTGATCTCTTCCCGGCTTAGCTCATTCAAGGACGTAGATCCATCAAGAGAGAGAATAAATATGTTAGCCAAAATCAAGAAAAAAAAAGAAGAAAGAATTGAGCATATCATCATTCTCATGCCAAAAACAGTATACATTCGTTAGCTTATCTTGTTTCCTGAATTTTGCAAAAGGTTTTGTAGAAAGAGTTTTATTAAAATGAAAATATCATCTACTAAGTTCAAAAATATAAGATTTTTTTTTTTACAATAACATTATCAATCAGATAGTGACTTATTGAGTTTTGTTTTTCAACCAGTTTCATGTGAAAAGGCTCAATTCCTAATGTGTCTGCAAGTGATGACAATGAGATCTAAGAATGTCATTACATCCCATACTATTAAATATTAATCAACATAGCATCAAACTGCTACTCTATACACTCATAATCTATTGTAGATACTGAATTGCATTAGTCAAAAACTTTTGTTTTGGTGATCTCTTATTTACTCTTCTTTTGATGAGCAAGATCTGTAAAAATATTTCTCTCCATTAGACAAATCTTCTCAGTATGATAATCGATTATGGAAAATATTTTTTCTTTTGTTTCAAAACAAAAATCATGACATTAGTAAGATCGACTACACATTGGTTAACTCTTGTTAATTATAACTTTAATCACCATCGTTACAAACACAATACATGGTCAAATTAGAGAGGGTTCCAATTAGAGATCATGGTAACTCTCACTAAAACTAAAAACCCTACGTTCTTCCTCAGTGAAAATAAATAAATCTTTGAAACGTTGAAATGCAGAATTATTATCTGTGATGTGTTAAACATCGATTGGCAATGGAAGATAGCTTATCTGAATTTTCACCGTTTCTACTGTTATAACAGCATTTATGATTTAATTGTAGTTAGGAAAATTACTCTCGGTTGTACGACCATAATTAAACAGCTAAACAAAATTCGGCTTTGAAGGTAGGAAGGAGTCATTGACGAAGCAATAGTTGTTGCATCAGATTGCTGCTTTAAAATCATCTCCACTTAATAAAGGAATCGTTCGACCAAAAATAGATTCCTCTAAACATAATGTTTTCCAATCAATAATTCCGATGCCCCTGTGGAAAAAAAACCAATAATGCAATTTAGTTTATAACTCATCGTACAATGCAATTTGGTATTTTTCTAAGTCCAGTCCACCAATCTTATTCAATTTCTTTTTGTCTGAATCTTAACGATAACAAGATGGAGTCTTAATGGATCGTGGCAACAAAACCACTTTTGTCACTAATAATACTCTTGCGCATATTTAAGTCGCCTTTTTGTTTTGTTATTTTCTATCTACCGCTTGATAATTCTTGCGCATATTTAAGTCGCCGGTTCAATATACATTTTAAGTCTTTCTTTTTTTGGGTCAAATTAATAACTATAATTCAAAAGGCATTGGGGCACGGAAAGAATTAGCCAACGGTTAACTCTTATTTATTCATTGTTTACCGATACACAACCTTCGTACGTACCCCAGAAAACGTCTTTATATTGTTCTTTTTTCCCTATGGGTTGGTGGAAACGTGGAACGTCAATTCGTATATTCTCTTTGATCTTTATTAGGAGAAAATCCACACTAAGCGTTAAAGTTTATTATATTTTGTATTGCAAATAATATGTTTTTATACTTTACTTTAATTATCAACTAGTGTGGATTTGAACGTTTTTCTACAATTCAAATGTAAGTGGGTACAATGTTAATTTTATTGGGCTGAATATTAGTTTATTAATAGTTTATAGAGTGTGTTCAGATTAGCTCATATTTGCAGTAATATATTTTACGTAATTACAATTATATATATGTAATGAAGAAAGTGTAGATGAATAATATATTTAATTCGGAGTATAGACCTTAATTTTTTTGTTTTTAAGCTATTTTCCAGAATATGTATATTGAACATAAATATTTTATCGAATATAGATGAAGATGTAAATGTATTTTTTTGAAAATTTATGATAAATGAATTAAATGTTAGTTAATATATTTTAATTAGAAATTTTTTTTGGGGAATATGAAACACATAGATAAAACATGAGTAGTCACTCTCTACTCATTCTATAAATAAACAACAGAAGAGAAGTTTCATCAAGTAACCAAACAAAAATTTCTTCACTCAAGTACAATCCATACTACAACTATTTCTTCTGATGTGATCCTCTCATAGATATACAAAAAATATGTTTTCCTACGTAATAATTTGTTTGTGCATCTATAAAAAATAACATCAGGAGAAGTAGTTTATTTCATTGTACCGCCACAGTTTTATTTTAATTATGTTACTTGTCAATGCTCACTTTTGATATGAAGTACACAGTTAGTACTTTCTATCAAATTCAGGAGAGAGTATTGACTGTGTACTTAATTTATAATGTTTTCCCTAATTTATTGCTAATTTAGATTTATTATTATTCTTTGAAATTTTTTGAAAGTACTTTAATTCTGTAAAATAATAGTTATGTATAATATTGAGAACCAACATTGTGTAACAAATACAAATTTTTTTAAGTGGGAGTCCACATGTTAATCTATAATGTTTTTTCTAATTTACCGCAAAGGTAGGTTTATTATTTCTCCATTTGCATTTTTTTGAAAGGACTTGTTCGGAATGATCTATATTATGTATGTCAGTTGTATTTGAAAATTTAAAAATTTGAATTATTCTCTGAGTGATTTTGAGAATTTGTGAGATATTTTTTCCTTTGAAATATTACTTTACAATTAATCTGCATCAACAATACTTCAAACTTATGATCATAACGGTTTACTCACTATTCAAAGATGATATAAATTATTAGTTACACTATATTTTATCAAGCTTCAACTTGTTGACTCTCGTATTAATTATGTAATATGTAACTGCTGCAAATGTAGTATTTGTGATTTAGAAAATGATTTAACTTAGTATTTCATAAATTCAACATTTAATGTACTGTAAAAAAAGGAAGAAGAATAAAATCTAAAAAAGGAGTAACTTATTAAAATAAAGATTTGTCATGCAGTTATCAATACAAAATTAAGCTTGACATTTAAATGTAATAAATCGGATATAAGTCCCTTGCATAGCAAGCTTCTTTGAAAGTGTCGTATATAACACCATTAAATGTTCAGATATCTTCATAACTGCAAGGATCTATAATGATATTCAACAAAAAACCCAAATAAAATACCTCCCCATCAAAAATCGAATATTGTTGAAGAATAGTTGGATTCACTGAACCCTTTAACCGAGGCTTCCATTCATGCAATGTGCCATTCCAGAAAAATTGATGAGATAGTTCAGTATAGAGTAGGAATCTGGCCGTTGCGTATACCTTGTTACACTC